GTTTTTTTTTTTTTTTTGATATATCTGTAGTATTGTTCTTATTCTTTTTTCTTATTTATTTAGGGTTTCTTTGCTTGCTCTACCCGAGAATCTATTTTTCGCGTGTCATTGTTATCATCATTACAGAATTCACAGTACAGTTGGGGGAGAAAAGGGGGGGGAGGCGTCTGTACATTGTCTCTTCCGAACCCCATCACGGCATGGTATACGAGGGGTTTTTTTTTTTTTTTTAGGGGGGGTTGGGGTTGGGGTTGGGGGGGGGGGGGGGGGTTTATAACATGGTAAAAAACAAAAAACAAAAGATGATGTACATGAACCGCAAGAGCCACTCCGCCGTTCGGGATCCACGCAAACAGAAGTAGAGAAGAGAAGGAGGGGAAAAGAAAAGCTCTCAGATGGTCTTTAGAGGTCTCAGGGATCGTCCCTAGACTTCTTCAGCTTCACATCTTCCCAAATTAGGTCATGCCCGAAACCTGAACATGACAACTGACGGCGATCCGCTGAAAAAGGATGGGGGGGGGAGGGGGGGGGGGGAAAGCTTGATTGATGATATGGAGAGATTCCCCCATCGAGAGAGACCTGCCGTAGTCTCAACTCTCTCTCTCTCCCTCTCTCCTCCTCACATGTCCACAAAGACTCCACACCACCACGTCTCGTCGGTATTAAATATGAATATACCGTCTTGTATGCATTGTGTATTATATTACTAAGATTGTCGAGGAGGAGAGGGGAAGGGGGGTTTTATCATGGAGAGGGGAGAGGGTTTTTTTTTTTTTTTTCCTATTATGCTTTTATCATATTTCTACCATTTTTTTTAAAAATCATTTTTATATCATCTTATATCATTTTCATCATCTTTCATCATCTTTCATCATCTTTTTTTTTTTTTTTCAATCAGGTCTTTATATCATATCTTTATATTGTCATCATGTGTGTTCACGTCTATCATGTTATCAGCATGCTATCCCCCCCCCCCCATGTTTAGAAACAGGAATATATTAAAACATGGAATAGGAAAACAAAACAAAACGAAACAAAGCACCCAAAGCCATGCCCTTGGGTCCCCCCCCATTCGTCTAGACCGTCGTCAACTCCGACTCTCCGAGACTCGAGACAAAGAATCTCTCTCACTTGATTGGCTAGAAACTTTTCTTCTACCTCTTCTGCTCGTCACCTGTTCTTTTCTTCTTTCTTTCTTTTTTTCCCTTTTTTTTTTCTTTTTTTTCTTTTCTTTTTTTCTTTTCTTCTTCTTCTTCTTCTTCTTCTTCTCCCCCC